CTCTCCCTCGTAACCATTTAGCCCTCGGGAAAGTGCTTTAAAGAAGAAAAAAACAATATCCCCCCCGGGGCCACGATCCCGACGAGGTTGATGTACGCACCTGCTGCGTGAAGTCCGAGACGAGCTTGTCTCCTCCGAATACATGCATCGGGCGCAGGTCCCTACGTGCCGACGCGCTGTGTGCTGAGATAATCTTGTGGAGGATGGAGTCCATGGCCTTGACAAACCTCTGCGCACGCGACAACGAGCAGTGGGGGGCACAGGGGTATGTCAAAGCGTGGGCGGACAGAGTAGGTATTTTGTCTCCATTGGTAACAGTTTGTTGGTCTACGATCAGACAGGACGCGCATCGAACATCGACCGTGCAAGAGGCAAAGCCGCCGTATAAAACTTGCTTCGCTGCAGCGTCGCGTGGCGCTCTCCTGACCCATGTGATGTAAAATTCGTGAGAGCTTTCGGGAACACCCAGCAACCGGTCTTGCTTCGTGTCCAGTAGTGCTCCGACCTGCATGTCCTATATCGACTTCAACGAAGCGCTATTGTCAAACGACCTATTGCTGATGATACGAAACCAAAAACACTTGCCACGTCCTTCAGCTCCATGTCCCTCATCGCAGCCTTGGCCGCACGGAACAGGTCCGGCAGGTGGCGTAGGTCAGNGGGGGGGGGGGGGACGGAGTACGGCGCAAAATGAGGAATGTAAAACAAGGGTAGGATGGAGCGTAGGTATAGCATAGGCTTTAGTGTCCAACGACAAGTACGAAATAGCCCGCCAGATAGCCTGTGGTGGGGGCATGCATCTTTTTGCGTCCCGTCCACGGTAAAACCTTATATAGGGTAAGGGCGGGGATCCAAAGAGAAAACAAGCTGACCCCGAGGCTATTTCGGCGTTCTTGTGTTTGTTGCCGTCGAAACGGGTGGGTGCGGCTGCCTGGCGAGTGACTACGGTACGAACCACCAAAGTTAAAGTACGAGTGCAGCAGGTCTAATCAAATACTTGTCGTTTTGCTCTACTCACGTTCCCATGTCTTTGCGCCGGACTGAGCCTTGGGGTAGACCATGGCGCCGACGGCGACGAAGGGGTTGTTCCTCGCGCTCGGAAGCTTCCCCTCCGAGAAGCGCTTCTTGGCGTCGCCCACGAAGGCGTAGCTGTACGTGACCATGATCCGGTTGATGACACCGTTCGTAGACCTCTCTCCCTTCACCTTCTCCCTCGATCCGTTGTTGCCACTGCCGTTGTCGCTGTCGGGTTTGATCGCCTGATGGCGGACAGGGTTGGCGGCAAGGGTGGAAATGGCGGACGAGGCTGTTGGTCAGGTTCAAACGGGAAGCAGACATGACATGTTGAAGAGTACATAAACGCCGAGACAGCTCCATCATTCGTTGATCATTGCGTACTGCTGTTGACTACTAGGTATTTTCGCTTGTGGTGGCCACAAGGCATATACAGACTCCAAGCGAATATCACTTCTGCAACGGCAGGAGTGTGCAAGAAATTGTGGATTGCAAGCTACTGCAGTGTACGCACCCAACAGAGCTACGATACCCAAAGAGCCATTCTTTGGCAAGTGAAGTTTTTCTCGTCTAGCTGTACTGCGGTGTACCCGATATCGCAAACATCCCCAAGAGCCAACTCAAAGCAACACCACGCTCAATACATACACCGGATCGAACATGTCCAAACGCAACATGAGACGAACTCGCCCACTTGCATGCTGGAGCCAATGAATACATGAACATATGTGCGCCCCAACCACATGGCGCGATGGCAGCACGAAAAATTCTCACCGAGTACATAGAGTGTGCCGTCTCGTACATTAGCATCCCACAAAGCGCGGCCTTGACCAAGGGGGTGGCTGGCTTGATGATGCGGTGAAGCTCATCTGCCGTCGAGGCTCGGTCGACGATGATCCCGCGCGCACCGCTCCCGCCGACGCTTGCTGCCCCGTGCGCCCGGGCGGCGGGTGCACCGGCGGTTGACGCCGAAGCACCACCCAGACCCCCAGACCGGGCCGTGTTGGTGCCGATGCCGAAAAACAGACCCCGCCGCTCCGCCCTTGTCCCCGGAATGGGCAATGGCGGAGTCGTTGAGGGTAGAAGGACGAGCCCCGGCCGGGCGGGCCATGGAGTACGCGCCGGCAGAAGCAGGCATGTTCCTGGCAGACGAAGAGGCCGCAGCGGTGACTGCGGTGTCAGCACGGCGCGTACCAGACGAGGCGGCATGCGCACGGGCAGCTTGGACGGGGCGGTGGGGCAGGGATGCCTCGGAGCTCCCGTCATCGTGCGGAGGTAAATAGCGGCCGGCGAAGCTGAGCAGACTGTTGCCGTCGCCGAGGCGCGCCGGCAGTCGAACTGCGCGCCCGGTCTTCTGCCGCTTGGCGTTGCCGGCCGGGGCGAGCAGGTCGGGGCTGGGGGCGGTCTCCGTTTCGTGGTCGTTGGGGTCGAGAGTGCAGGAGTCGTCGTCGCTCGAGGTGGATGACGAAGGCTCGAATTCGGACTCCTCGTCAGAATCCTGCGATGGGGGTAGAGGGACGGAGGAATGAAGGGCAGCATAATGGTGCAGGGTTGATAGGTGATCCGCTGCGGAGACATCTGGATGGGCAGGCAACAAAAGACACGAGCTGCTTCTGCAAGGGCAAAAAGACAAACTGCTTTATTTTCTTGATTGCGTTGTACCGAACCGATGCCGGCGACAGACTTGTGCTGTGTTTCACAAGGTGGCAAGGAGGCTTGGGCACATGGTGGCGAGTATCGTGAAATCCTGCTGGATGCGACCATCCTCGGAGGATTCAACACGAGCAAGCCGCATGATCCTCTGAGTGTACGACTGAAGGGGCACAAAACACATAACACGAGGAAGCTCATGACATCACCGCGGAAGACGGACGCCACTCAACAAAGCTATTGGAAACACAACAGTAGCGGGCTGCCGGTGGCTGCTATCGCCGGCCAGCCAAGCTTGTAGGATCGTGGGGGGCAATCGTGAGAAGCAATGCTTGGCGTTTAGCTTGAACTACTATCTATTACGTCTACTTCACCATAAGCTTCTAAATTTACCACCAATCATTATCAATTTTTTTAAATGAGCGGACTAAACATGCCAACGACTGTGCCCTTTCCCCACCCCCCGCCGAAATGTTGACGTTTGGGATCGTGGGGGCGACCGTGCGAAGCGGGCTCAGCAATCTCGCCTTCGGGTTCATGTTATGACTCGTATGTAACCCCGCAGCAACAAGGGGGAAGGCTACGAAGAGACGAATGCTGTGGACTACACGACTCACTTCGAATGAGGAAACAACAATACGCCGGGCGGGGAGAGCGGCATTGCAGCCCCCGCATGGGCTGAGGCATGGGCCGCAGCAGTACAGTTCACGGATTTCCGGGAGCAAACATTTTGCTGCTGTACTGCTGTAGGCGCAACAAATATTTTTTCCTTCGAACTTCGGACTTCGAACCTTCGACCTTCGGAGAAAAATTCATGGCATTGTTTGGTGTGTTGTTGGTGTAATGGTTTTGGAGTAAGACATAGTGGGATCGTAACTCGCTTCGCTCGCAGACACTTCACGGGGTTTCGGGCGCGGTGCAGTGTGCGGTCACAGCGCCGTGTGACTCGCTTCGCTCGCAGACACTTAACGGGGTTTCGGGCGCGGTGCAGTGTGCGGTCACAGTGCCGTGTGACTCGCTTCGCTCGCAGACACTTAACGGGGTTTCGGGAACGGTGCAGTGTGCGGTCACAGTGCCGTGTGACTCGCTTCGCTCGAAGACACTTAACGGGGGTTCGGGCACGGTGAAGTGTGCGGTCACAGTCCCGTGTTGCTCGCATGTGCTCAAAGGCACTTCATGCGCAGCGCCGTCATGTTCCCCCTCTCGAGGAGTTCCTTATTTGCTTCGTCACACACCGGTATGCCTC